ATTTAAGAAACATCAAGGCATAAAATACATAATGCAATTAATTTTCTCTACAGCTAGATGCCTTTTAGCAAGCAGAAAAAGGGCCAAAATAGCTCTCTTGTTTACACGTTTATTCAACCATTTAGCACTGTGTGACAACACACCGCAGAACAGACACCAGAGAGAAAATTCTACCGACTTCAATCAGAACGCGATGAGAAGGAAGAAGAAGAAGGAATAGCTTCTGTCATCCTCAGTGACATGAAGCAACACAGACCGTCTGTGTGCGGGCAGTCGAATGTTGGAGCCGGCTGCCCAGGACGCTGTGGCATTGCCCTGCCACTCCAAAACCAAGCAGGAGAGCCTCAGCAACCTGCCCTCACTTCCAGGCTGCTCCTAACTTGGAGGTTTATCTTGCTCTGGAAAAAGGTTGGACTCAATGACCTCTGGAGGTCTCTTCTGATCTAAATTATTCCAAAGTTATCTTACAATCATGCTGACTTTTTATTATAAATAATTTAAATGGAGGAGTGAAAGCACTGCCAGGAAGCATGTAAGAAAGCTAAATTTTACTACTGACAAAAGCTTCTTTTGATACATTTCCTACTGCTGGAAATCAGCACAAGATAAAATTTTAAAAGCATTAGCCTTTCCTGTTAAATAAAAGTTGAAAGATTTTACCCATTCTTCTAGTTCAGTGTCTGTCCCCCTCATAAATTAAAATGAAAATTAAACAAAAAAACATTTTACATCGTTTTACATACATCTATACACACAGTATACAAACATCTATATATTAATGGCCATCTGTATGTGTACGCGTATGCATATGTAAAACCACTCCAGAGAAACAGAGGGTAGTTGAGGCTGGAAGGGACCCCCCAGGATCATCCAGTCCAACCCTCCGGCTCAGCACAGTCACCCACTGCAGGTTACCAGAGGTCACATCCGGTATATCCTTTGAGTATCTCCAAGGAGCACATCTAATACTTAACAAAAACAAAACACTCCCCCCCCTCTCACCCCCCAAATTGCTCTGATTACTTGTGATACGCTTAAATTCCTCAGAATGTTCCCGATTCACAGGTTTTCTTTATACTGTTTCCGTAATTTATAGCCTGTCAGTCAAAAAAAAAGACAGAAATCAACCTTAATACACTATGACAAACTCATGCAGAAAACAGCATTTTCAATGAGTTTTTGAAATTTAGAGGCTCTGAAGCGTGTTCATCGGAAACTAAAACATCTTTAGGTTTATAATAAACAAGAAATCCTGAAAATAGGCACGAAAAGTTCCCACATGGATTGAATAAGTTAAATAGTGAGAATAATACAGGTTTCATACATAGCACAACGGCTTCTGTTACACAGCCCATTTTTTTCCTTAATATTCCAGAATGTGAGATTTCCTTGCTGAATAAGGATTTACTACTTACAGTACTTTGTAATGATTTTTTAGAAACAACATGAAGCTTCAGGGTGTTTTTCTTACCAGGCAGCACACAGTGATCGACCCGTGTTTCCCATGAATTTACTATTTCAATAGCCTTCAGTATCAACTGCATTAGACATATTCCCAGTTAATTAATTTCAAATGAAATGTCCAAGTCATCATATATATTCCCACGAAAAACTAATTTTGACTGTAACTGCATGTGAGATTACCTGCAGTAACTCACGCGCGCATCTGTAAACACAAACATGAAACAGTGTGGCCAGCAGGAGCAAGGAAGTGATTGTCCCCCTATACTCAGCACTGGTGAGGCCACACCTGGAGTACTGTGTCCAGTTTTGGGCCCCTCACTTCAAGAAGGATGTTGAGGTGCTGGAGCGGGTTCAGAGAAGAGCAACAAAACTAGTGAAGGGGTTAGAGAACTTGTCCTACAAGAAGTGGCTAAGGAAGCTGGGACTGTTTAGTCTGGAGAAGAGGAGGCTCTCAGGGGGGACCTTATCGCTCTCTACAACTACCTGAAAGAAAGTTGTAGGGAGATGGGGGTCGGTCTCTTCTCCCATGTTATGAATGACAGGACAAGAGGGAATGGCCTCAAGTTATGCCAGGGGAAATTCAGGAAAAATTTCTTTACAGAGAGGGTTGTGAAGTATTGGAACAGGCTGCCAAGGGAGGTGGTGGAGTCCCAATCCCTGGAGGAGTTTAAAAACAGTGTGGATTTGGTGTTGAGGAACATGGTTTAGGGACCCGGACAATGCAGGGTGGATGGTTGGACTTGATGATCTTGAGGGTCTCTTCCAACCAAACGATTCTATGTCTTGGTGGCTTTGCAGCATCAGGAATCTCCCTCTTAGGTTTCATGCACATCAACAGCAGTAACTACAGTTACTACCGCAGCGCTTAAGGGTTAAGTGGGGGAACGTCCATCCTGTGCCAGCTACTCTGTAAACACGAGCATCATGTTTTCGCTGCTCACTGTAGGAGGAGGAGACACTTCAGTTCACATTTAATGTTGTCTGTCGTTTTGGTTCGCTTTTATGAAGCACCTCTCCTCCCTAGCTAGAACATCTCATCTCTAGCGTTCCAACGAGTTTTTACTTAAAACCGAACTAAGGTACCTCCACCCAACACTCTTCTGCGATATTGGCAGAGTACCACCTCGAGGCTGATTTCTGTGTCAAATATAAGAGTGCTAGGAAAGCGTGATAAAAAGTGATGTCCTTTATTTCCAAATTAATGTGATTATTTCTGGATTTGACCAGCTGCACACATTGTTTCACAGGACCAGTAATCCAAGGCTTTAGCACAGAACACATTTTATCACTGAGGTTAAAGAGATTTACCTTATGAGGCTCATTTACACAGCTAATTACATTACTGCTTTGCGCTGGCTCCTTCCTGCTCTCACCACACATGCGAAATGCCATCTGCC